ACGAAAACAAGCTCATCTTCCCTGTCTCCGTAGGGGCCGGGATCGTTGGCAAATTTATGCAGGGCAATCACAGGATGACGCCTGGTACGCCGGGTTCGGACTTGGCTCTCAATGGTTCCATTGTCTTTGATATCGGTGGAACCGAGATATGACGAGATGTAAGGGTTTGAGAGAGGAAGGAATGTGGGATTATAATTCCTCGCAAAATAGGAAAGATGGAAAGGTAGGATAAGCGTCATGATCAAGTAGGTCCTCTCTAAAGTATTCTGTCATTGTTAATGAAAGCATTTATAGATAGTTACAACAAGAGAGAAAATATAAATGAAAACATGCACATTAGATGTAAGAGAAAATGATTCATACTTTGTCATCTACGGGTCCTTCAAGATCCAGAATGTTGAAGACAAAAATACGCATTCTTTGGAATGATAAAAAAGGTCAACTCAATTAAGAGTGTAGGTTCAACCTTGTTCTCGCGGCTTGGTCAGAGCGCCAGGGAGACCTTGCGGAAAATACTTAGTCCCATGTCCCGTATTCGTTATTTGATAAGTTGTTACTTTGTGCTTACGATGGCGCCTCACTGATGATGCCGACGAAATGTTTGGTAATGTATCCAGTCAATAGTCCAGTGTTGAAAATCGTAAATACTATGGCAGAGGACACGGGACTAGGTACATTCCACAAGGTCTCCCTGAGGCCCCGACCAAGTTGCGAAAACGAGGTCGACCCAACACTATAAAGCTAAAGGAGGCTGTGACCAAACAGAAGGCCATACCATTTTGGTCCCTATCTCTACAATTAATAGTAATTAAATTGTAGCTTCTAGTACTCCCAGTCTATTTCTGTCTTCTTTTTCTATCTTACGAGTCCCTGCTCAAAGCCCCTATTCAAAAAGAACACAGCTAAAAATTTGATAATGAATATATGTTGATACTATGGGTAGATCTTAAATAAGAACTGTAATCATCCAATGTCGCATAAAGTGATAAATAACTGAGAATTGGCATTTCCCACAATTATATGAAAAGGCCGCACGTTGCCAATGAATTTCATTGATCCTTACTTAACAATTTCCGTATCAGCACCCCCAAGGAAAATCTAATCCAGGTTGTACTACTGCTGCTGCTACATGCTACTACTACGCCACGCTGCAACGATTACCAATAAAAAAGTTCTTATTCAGGATCTACTGATAGTATCGAGACCACTTCATCATATATATAAGTAACGTAGTCCATTGTAATGGCAAAATACAAGTTTGACTGATCTATAATCCCACTATAATGTGATACGGGAGGCCTACCTTGCCTTGAAATGCACGCCTGCCTTGTGACCCATTGACACTTGCGACAGTGGCGTATTTGCATAATTCACATTCGATTTACGTTGCTGATGGTGACGAGACCCAGACGAGGTTAAAATTGCAGTCCACCCCGGATGAGAATACTTTTGGGGAGGCAAGGCGAGGTGAAATTCAATAGTATTGTGAGGCCTTCTCATATCACTGTGGAAAAATTCAAATATCAGCTCTTCATCACTTTATGCGACCTAAGGTCACTCGAGCTCCTATGGAACTAATAATTCCGAGATTTATCAGTGAATATGACCAATATGAAAAATTGGAAGAAAATCGAGTCTCAGCAGCGCATGGAGACGACAGCCACGTTCTCTTGGTCCACACACTAAGGCAATTAATAGTAGGATTAAAGGTGTAAAATAACAAACAAGCAATAGACATCTATATCCTTATGATAAATTTTTGTTTGGTCACAATATAGGTTATTTTATATTGAGATATGTAGCAAGGTTCTGCATGGCTTACAAAGATATAGAAGCAAACTGTTGAACTTGATGCTAAATGTAAAAGAAAATCTCAGTTAGGTACGAAAATACTGAATCAAAGCTTAAATGCTAATCAAAGTATGTTAAGAATGTGAAAGTTGAGAAAAATCAGCTTGGCTATCGGAAGCAGTCAGGGTTTGTATTTAAAAATGACCAGACACAGTAAGGGTATATGTGAAAAGAAAATGTCATATGAGAACAGAGATTGATAGTGTAAGTAGCATAAGCGATAACAAAGTACCAAGAGGATCAGAACGGTTCGCATAGAGCGTACAAACATTTGAAGTGACTAAGTAAAAGAAAAAAATTAGTGTCAACAAATTCCTTCCTTGTCTGCCTACAAATAAACCATTCGGTTTTGATTAACACTGTAATGGTGACTAGGCCTCTTTAGAATATGTGTATTTAAAAGTGATCCAAAATTGTAACTTTTCTTCAACCAATTAATGTAATGAAAGATGACAGCCTTATGTTTGGTCATACTCGCTTTAAGCTGCATAGTGTTAATTTGACCTCGTCTTTGTAACTTGGTTGAAGCCACATGAACGCCTAGTAATGTACCAAATTAATTAATATTGGAAATTATCATTAATATTATAGCAGATGACATAAGACTAGGTAAGTTTCACAATACCTCCTCGTCGTTCCGAGCAAGCTGCGAAAATGAGGTCAATGCTGTTAGCCAAATTATCTGTCTAAAAAAAATGATCGAGAAAGCGCATTCACTTGAACATCAGCATTTAAATGGGAAAATAACAGGCAGAAAATGCATGACCTACAGAGAAAATCAAATATTCGCCGATATAAAGACTCACTGCTGGGGCTGGGACTAACACAGAGGCTTTGTGGATCAAGCGATGGTTGTGTCCGCCGACCCGTCTGCTGAGGCTGATCCGACGTCAAAGTGCTCTGCGAAGACGGTCCAGCTAACTTTATGGGATGCTTGAGAGCATCTGGAGCATAGTCTAGTGTCCCACTTTGCCAAGTAGATGACGGTTGTTGGGGGCATGTTATTGAAGTCTCGCCGTATGGCAATGGACTAGTGTAGAAAAGATTGTTGGCAGCTAGAAGACTAGTTCTTGAGCTCGGCGTCCTAAAAAGCGAACATAA